TAAGTTTTTCTTTGTAATTAAGAAAAATTTTGTGTCAAGAAAGTTATTTGAAATTTTGTAAATATATCATGCCTCATCTAACTTTTCATTTATTCACTTACTATTTATTTTAGTAAGGGTCTGCAGGGTGTCACTACATAGATCCCACTCCTAGTGATCTGCTTGTGTTCAGTCTTCCAAGAGCTGGGATTATAGGCATGTCACCACACCCAGTCTCAATCACCATCTCAGTGCACCCTAGAGGCGGGGCTAACACAACATGCGAATCCCCACTGCATCTATCTAAGCAGGTGCTTTAATCTGCTGAGCTATTTGGCTGGCCCTATTCACTAACTTTTATCAGTATTAGCCCTTGATTTTCATTTTTATTCAATGAGTTGTAATTCTGTAGTATAATTTGATGCTCAGATTTCCCTAGAATTTGGCCAGCTGGACTCTACTTCTTTGAGAGATGATCTTATTGAGCTTTGAGAAGTCCTTTGTTTCCTTGTATAAGATGTTCTGAGAGGGACAGGGAGATAGCTCAGCAGTCTAAGTGCTTGCCTAGCAAGCATAAGGACCGGAGTTCAATCATTGTGAGGATCATTGTGAGTTTGAGGCCAGCCTGGGCTACAAAGTGAACTGAAGGCCAGCCTGAGCTGCAAAGAGAGACCCTTTCTCGAAAAAGACAAAAAAAAAAAAAGAAAAGAAAAGAAAACCCATAAAAATGACACTTCCATGACAAAGGGCACCTGAAGAAACTCATTCCCACCAAATCAGCACTTAGTATATTCTGAAGGACATTCCATAAAGAAATAATGAGCCTGGAACTCCATGAACCCCAACAGAATGAAGCCACCAGGCAAGGCATGTATTAAACAGAGGGGGAAAGGAACAACAGAAAAATCACATGGCATGGAGAAGTCAGTACATATCTGTTATAACCATTAATGTAAATGGTCTTAATCACCAGTCAAAAGAAACAGACTGGAAAATAGATCAGGGCAGAAGCACCTGCCTGCCAAGTGCAAGGTCTTTTTTTTTTTTTTAAATCATTTATTTCTCTCTCTCTCTCTCTCTCTCTCTCTCTCTCTCTCTCTCTCTGTGGCCAGCTCAGCCCACTAGGGGGTGGGGCTGGCTGGCATGTGGTGCTGGGGGATTGAACCGTGGTCCCTGTGCTTTGCTAAACTTGTTCTAAGTAGGTGCTTTAGACCACTGAGTCATTTCACCAGCCCCAGTCTTTTTTTTTTTTTTTTTTTTTTAATGGCCTGCTTAGCTCACCCTGGGGATGGGGCTCACATGGCATGTGGTGCAGGGGATCGAACTACAGTCCCTGAGCTTTGCTTAAGCAGGCACTGAGCTATCTCACCAGCCTAAGCAAAGTCTTGAGTTTGATCCCCAGTACAAAAAACAAAAACAAAAGCAAAACAAAACACCCAGACTGGCAAAATGCATCAAGAAGCAAGATCTAACAATATGCTGAATACAAGAAACACATTTAATTCAAAAAGAAATTCCTAAACTGAAAGTCAAAGGATGGAAAACCACTCCATGAGAACCCAGAAAAAAACAGGGGTAGTTATTCTGTTTAAAGACAAAGTAGAATGTGTTGATTATTGAAACTGTCCTACCATTTTGATTTGAAACTGTCTCATTGCTATTTATCAATAAAATTATGGAAAAAAAATAAGGACAAAGTAGATATCAAAAAAGACTGACTGAGAGGAAAAAAAAAAAGTCACTATATCCTTGTAAAGGGAACAATCCAAGAGAAAGAGATAATAATCATAAATATATATATATATATATATATATATATATATATAACAAACCAGAGCACCCAACTACATAAAACAAATATTAATGGAAATGAAAAATCAAACAAACACTAATACAACTGTAATGGGAGACCCTTAATACCCCACTGTCACAAAGACAAACCAATGAGACAAAACAAAAAACAACAACAAAGAGATTCCAGAACTGAACCAAACCTTTGAAATAAATTGACATAGTAGATATCTACAGTGTTCTGCCAGTGTTTCACCATGTATCAGAATACACATTTTTTGTCCGCACATAGTACGTTCTCCAAAACCGACTACATAGTAGCTCACAGAATATGCTTAAGTAAATGAAAAGGAACTGAAATTATCCCATGCATATTATTAGACTATAGTAATGAAATAACTTCATAAACATATGAAAATTAAATAACATCCTCCTGAACAACCAATGGATCACAATGAAATTAAAGAAGAAATTAGTTTCTATAATTAAATGATAATGCCAATACAATACACTGGAACTTATGGGACACACAAAAAAGCAGTCCTATGAGGGAAATTTACAACAGTGAATACCCATATAAGGAAAAGAATGAGCTAAAATAAACAATCTAATGTTGAACCTCAAGCTTCTAGAAAGATAAGCCAGTCAAGCCCATAGCTCATATGAGAAAAGAAATTAAGGTCAGAGGAGGAAAAAAAAAGATCAGAGCAAAAATTAATGCAATGGCAACAAGGAAAACAATACAAAGCATCAATGGCTTGAAGTGATTCAAGAGTATCTTTCTTTAGAAATTAAATAAGATTGACACTTAGCCAGCCTTATAAAAAAAAGAAACTCAAATTTATGCAAGTAGGAATGAAAGGCGTGAAATCACAACAGACCCTATACAAATCCAGAAGATCATCAGTACCTACATCAAGAACCTGTATTAAAATGGAAAATGTAGAAGAAACGGACAGATACCTAGATATATATGAATTACCAAAGCTGAACTAAAATGTAAAAATTCTAAATAAAGCACTATTAGTCAATGAAATTAAAGATGTGATTAAAAAACCTACCAACAAAGAAAAGCGCAGGACATGATGGATTTACTATTCCATTATACAAGAAATTTAGAGAAGACCTAACACCACTACTTCTCAAACTCTTTAATGAAATTGAAAGGGAAACAATACTCCCAAATTCACTCCTGGAAATAAGTATAACCCTGAGACCAAAACCAGAGAAGGATCCAAACAAAAAAGGGAACTACAGGCCAACCTCCCTAATAAACGTAGATGTAAAAATCTTTAATAAGGGGCTGGTGAGATGGCTCAGTGGTCTAAAGCACCTACTTGTCCACTGTCACCATTCTTATTCAATATAGTTCTGGAAACATTCCCAAAAACTTGACCCAAAGACTTCTGGATTCAATAACCAAATTCAGCAATATCATGATAGAAAGTCGAAACTCAAAAACCAATAGCCAGAGGGCCAGTGAGATAGCTCAGTGGACTAAGCACTTGCTTAGGTAAGTGCAGGGGCCAGGGTTCAATCCCTGGTAAATATCCTGCACTGGCCCCACCCCTGGGTGTGCTGAGTTAGAGATGGATTCCGGGCATGGTGGCACATGTCTGTAATCCTAGTACTAGGGAGGCTGCAAACAGGATCACTACAAGTCAGCTGCGTAGTGAGACCCTGCACACACACACACACACACACACACACACACACACACACAATAGCCAGGAAGGAAGTACAATACTACACTTGATCTTAGCCAAAAGGCTGAGAAGCGATAGGAAGTACAATAATACACAACACACAACAAACTCAGTGAGAGAAATCAAAAAATACCTTTCAACCTAGTCATCTTATCTTTCACAAAGCAGCCAAATACCTTCACTTGAAGAAAGATACTCTCTTTAAGAAATGGGGCTGGGAGGGCCGGCCAAATAGCTCAGCAGGATTAAAGCACCTGCAAGCAGGTGCAGGGGCTGGGATTCAATCCCAGGCCTGCAGTGCTGGCCCTGCCCCCGGGACCTGCTGAGAGTTGAGGTGATTGAGACTAGGTTTGGTGATGTGCACCTGTAATCCCAGCTTTTGGGAGGCTGTAAACAGGCGGATCACTAGGAGTCCGATCTAGTAGTGAGACCCTGAACACCCTGTTGACCCTTCCCTAAAAAAAAAAGGCAAGTGTGATAGTGAAAGACCAAACCACAGGGGACCAAAAAACTCAAGAGAGGGGCCAGGGAGATGGCTCAAGGAATAAGCGCTTCCCTGGCAAGCGCAATGGCCTGAGTTTAATTCCCGATTCCAAAAAAAAAAAAAGAACGAACGAATGAAAAGAAAACTCAAGAGGGACACATCCCCCACCCTGACAAATTCAATATTGGCACAACAGAAGTGACAGCCACAACTCCAATCCCACCCCGTTGCCTCTGCTTCTCACTCAGCAGAGGACCCCTCCACGTGGGAGAGGTCTGTCTCTTCCAGGGACTATGGCTGTGAAGACAGCTGGAGAAAATACAGGAGGCCTGACTTGAGATCCAATGTTCTTTTTATTCCTTAGGAACAAATATATGTAAGGAAGAAACTCCAAAGGAAATAGGAGTATGGATGACAGAATGATGCCAGGGTGGCCTGGCTCAGGAGTTGGGAGGACAAAACACTCCAGAGGACTTGGTCACAGCCCTCATTCTTTAAATCCACATCTGTCCTGTGCCCAGGTAGCCATTTTAGCAGTGAAGGAAGGAGTTGGTAACATGGAAAACTTGCCTGCTCTACATGAAGTAGATAAATGTACTTGTCTATTCTGAGGTGTCCAGGGACACCAAACCCTCCCTCTCAAGAATGGAGGTAGGCAGAAAAAATGAGACTGGGTGTCACAGATAACTAGAAAGCAATCACAGGGCCACAGTGGCTGAAGTAGGTGCCATGGGGGGGATGAGAAGGGAAGCAAGAACTGGTTGACAGCTCTCCATTCTGTGTGGTGGAGCTGGTCAATCTGCCAAACTGGCCCCAAGGCCAGTTATGATCATGCCAAAGGGCCTTGGCCATGTTGCCTCAGAAGCCGTTGTCCTTCTCCCAGAGAAGGTGCTTTTATCCCTTCTGGCACCGCCTGCTTGCCTACAGTCTGTCCTCTACTTTTTTTTTTTTTTTTGGTGGAACCGGGTATTGAACTCAGGCCCTTGTGCTTTCCAGGGAAGCTCTTATTCCACTGAGCCATCTCCCCGGCCCCCCCAGCCTGTCCTCTAGAGAACAGACTAGCAAAGGACACATGGCCAAGATGCAATTGCTTTCATGGCAGCAGGCATCTTGAAGAGCAAGGTGTTTTGGTGCGGGCTGGGTAACACCTCACCCAATGTATCAAAGGACTCATTTCCATGTTACAGAGTGGCCCCTGGCTGCTGCTTGGCATTGAGGACAGGGGCTACAGCCGGGGTCCGCATCACAGTGAGGTTTCCTGGAGGACGAAGGTGGGACTGATTCCCTCCTGGCCTGGCCTGTCTTCAGCCATTGCCCACTTGTCTCCACTGTCCTGAAGCATGCCCTTCTTCATCTTCTCTGCAAATAGGCTGGTGTCCATGGAGACGTCCTGCGCAAGTGCAGAGAAAGGGTGCATGTGTGGGGAGGCAGGAGGAGGAGAGGGAAGAGCACAGTTCAGTGAGCAGCAGCTGGGGAGGGCTGTGGGGTGGCCAGGTCCCCGATCCTCTGAGCCAGCGCAGCCCACCCTGTGTGTGGAGGCAGGAGCAGTCGCTGTGGGAGATGATCAGAGAGAGGGTCCTGGGCATAGGAGACATGGAAAGGGATAGAAGGGGACCTGACCAGGAAGGTAGGGGATTGTGTGACAGATGCACCCACCTGGCTGTGGCTTCTGCAGCAAAGCCGCTTCTGACAGGACAAGGGCAGGAGGGCAAGGAGTCTTGGCAGCACAGGGTAAATGGTCTGAGGGTTCAGGGTCCGGCCCCGCATCCCTCCTGTAGGCAAAGGTGCTTGTGAGTTTGCAGAGCCTCAAGGCTTCTGGACCCGTGTCCAAGGCCCAGCCCAGCCCACCTCCAGGATCTCAGCCAGGAAGCTGGCTGTTCCAACACGGAGGCTCTGAGAAAGATGGAGCTCCTAGAGACACCCCCTAGAGAAATGAAGACGCCCCTCTTCACTTCTCTGTGCGGTGATCCCACACCCTCACCAGTGAGCAGACTGACGATCAGGCCCACTACAATGACAGTGGTAGAGTTGTGAGCGCTGTACCATAAATAAGACAAGGAATAGAACCGCTGTAACCCTGTGGGCCTGGGGAGAGCACAGGGGTGAAAGACCATTAATAATCTGTTTACAGGGCATGTCTCAGGCTCCCAGCTCCACCCACTTGCTTGGTTACAATCCAACACTTCTCTGAGGCTTCTGACTCCTAAGGAAGGACCCTGGGAAATCCCTTAAAAGTAAACTACCTCACTGGGCATAGTGCCACACCTGTAATCCCAGCCCACGCGAGACTGAGGCAAGAAGACTGCTTTGAGTTTGAGGCCAGGCTGGGGTACAAAGTGAGTTCAAGGTCAGCCTGAACTGCATATCAAGACCCTGTCTGGGGGCAGGAGGAAACTAATCTAATTAGGCCAGGCCTGGAGGTGCTCTTCTATTATCCCAGTACTCATGAGGCTGATACAAGAGTTCAAGGTCAGCCTGAAAAAGTGAAACCCTGCCTGAAAAAAACCAACCAACCACTGAGCTACTGTCCCCAAGAAAAGGAATATCCCTGCCTTACTTGGAGAGGGTGGTAAATGGCATCAGGGTAGTCACAGTCACGCTGGTCAGATTGCTAGGCAGAGAGAAGCTGGACACATTAAGGTGAGAGGCTGCTGTGCCAGAGCCCATACTGGTCAGTAAGCTCCCGATGCCAATCCAGAAGGCCATGATAAGTCCAGCCAACAGCCCCACGATGGCACCCTGCCAGAGACATGGTATGTTCTCCTGACACAAGGCCAACCCCACCAAACCTTCACAAACCACCCTGTGTGCAAGACTATGAAAACAGACGATTACTCACAGGAGGGTTGGCACAAGGAAAGAATATTCCAAGGCAGAAGAGTCCAAGCAGCGGCCCTCCAACCATGCCAAAGATACTGATTGCTGCCTGGGAAAGTCAAGGTGAGAAGAAAAAAATAAAAGAACACCCAGGCTCAAAGAACCCAGAGCTCTGCCAGCAGCAACTGCCTCTGTCTTGCTCATCAGCTGTCTGGCTCTGCTACCTGGGACCATTCCAGAGGGCAGGCATGGCTAAGGGCATGCAGCTTCCTCAGAGGCTGATCACTTGGTCTCTGCGAGCCAAAGTCATCCCAGAAATAACTCTGGGAACTTGGTCACACAGGAGTCTCTTCATAGGTAAAAGTACTCCAGAAAGGGGAATTTCTGACCCTGGCTCTTAAGCCATTCCTCTTAACACAGCTGCAATCCTCAATTTTCTGTTTCAATCAATTCTTTTTCACCCATACCAGTGCTTTTTCCTTTTGGTAGTCATTACCTGCAGCAAGGGTCCCATCTGGGAGGAAATATAGGCCATTCCCAAACAAAGCAGCCCATAGCCAATTGCTGGGAAATGCAGAAAAGAAACAGATGTAAATAAACACTAATGAAAATGGAGGAACCTCCCCAAACTATGGTTCCGTGTCCCTGAAAAGAGGGCCTATGGCCTCCAGCCCCAATTTCAGCTCCAGCTCCCACCACTTGTCCTCATTCCCATGTGACTCAGAAAACACCAAGCCATCAACAGCTGTGGAGGGAGACTGCCTGCTTCGGCAGGCCAAGTGCTGGGCCTAAGATAAAGCAGATGTTTTACTGCACATTGACAGTAATGGTCAGGAAGAATCTCAGAAAGAACAAAACTAAGGATACACAGAAGCAAAATCCCACCGAGGCTTCTGGAAAGCATGATGGCCCGGGTTTCAGAGAATTCAGGGAACCACGGTTGAATCAGGTCTTCCATTGTGACAGTTGCCAATGAATTAAAAGCAGAGGATATGGTGCTAGAAAGGAAAAAAGAGAATGATAAGCAGCAATGCTTCTGGGAGCTGAGAGCAGAACTGGGGACTCTGGAGGGAACAGAGCGCTCAAAGCACCAGTGATGGTATGGGAGCCAAGAAACCACGCAGCTGCAGGCACAGCCACATCACAGGAGGCCTGAAGGGCAAGGACACTGCCCTTTACCGAGGAGAGTTCAAGTGGATTTATTCCTGATATTGCGGAAAAATAACCTTTAACTGAGATGGGGCATGTCTTGGGAAGGGCTGTGCTGTCTTCCATAGATAAGCCTCCCTTATCTGTATGCCACAATGGGTGACAATAACAGAGCTCCCAGCCCACCTGTCCAGGCATATCATGCCCAAGACCACTGGTTGAAGGGGTACCTTAGGGAGCCGCTGAAGAGGCAGGCAACAAAGAGCCCAGGCAGGCCTGGCAGGCCATTCAGGAGGTCCATCACAAAGTAGAGGACAAACTGTAGGCAGAGCAGAGCAAAGCTCTCCTCAGGGGGTGCCTCCCCCTGTGGTTTGTCCCTCCATACACACACACATGCCTCAGTCCAGGGACCTTCCCAACAGGCAGAGGAAATGGGCTCTGTAGAATGACACTACCCCAGCTTTGCTCTGACCAGCAATGTGACATCAATACACTGCCTGCCCTGTTAAGCCTGTTTCTCCTCTGTAAAATAAGGCTGTGAGGAGGATTCGGTGAGAAAAGGCATGTGCCAACTCCCAGGAGAGCAGCACATGGTACATATTGTGCAGTCCATAAGATCACTTCCTCATCCCGAAGTCAGGTGAGCATTGGTTAGGTGATGCCTGATGCTACAATGTGACATGCTAGATTGCTAGAACCTCCGCACAAGAGGCAAGTCCTTTTTGCAGCCCCCCACACACTCTACTTTGGGCCCCAGGTAGGCCTTCTTACCTGGTCAGGGGCTGCCTGAGCTTGTTGGCTGCTCAAAGGAAACTCCTGGTAATACGCAAACATGACCAGGCCAATGAGGCAGCTTATACAGAGCACTATCTGCTGGCAAGGGAACACCGCATAGCAGGAACTGCAAATAGGCCGTTGTAGGGGAGAGACAGTGGTTACACACCCAGACTCGGGCCCCTGAGCCTTCAGAAAGCAGGCCATCCTGGCCCCAGTGGGCACACTTCTGCCCCACCCCAACTGCCCTTCTTCCAATTCCTGTCCCTGCACTCACAGCACAGCAGCCTTCTCCGTGTGGGAACTGAGGTAGCGTTGCACCTGAGCCTGGTTCACCCCATACAAGGAGAGCATCATGAAAACACCCCCGAAGGCCAAGGTCCAGAAGGTGTGCCGCACAAAGGGGTCTGGATTCAGCCTGCAACAGATACCACCTGGTCACTGTGCCACAGCCTCAGACTCCCACTTAGCCTTTCTGTTCTCCTGGCAAGAGGGGTAAACCAGGAGCAGAGTGGATAGCATTCCTAGGTCAAGGGAGCTATTACGTTAAAGAGCTGGATAAACTCAAGAGCCAACACAGCAAGCTAAAGGGAGGCTTCCTTTTTTCTACCCAGCTTCATCCCCACCCTCCCCAAACACCAGCTGGCCACCTGTGATATTTGTCCCTCTACAGAACCAGTTTCCTGCCCATGCAGTGCTGTACCCAAGGCTCCTAGCTTGCCCTCTGCTTACTGGCTGCAGAGCTCAGCCAGGGGGAGGTAGTACTTACTCGATCCCAGAGATGAGGTCGTGCTGGGAAGCCAAGGCCCACACACGCCCCATGCCGCCCACTTTGGCTGACCCCACAATAATAACAGCCACCTGCCCTAGGAACATGACCAGTGTCTGGAACACATCTGTCCAGATGACAGCCTTCAGCCCACCCTGCAGGGAAAAAGACAGAACACTGGCCACAAACGTCTCCTAAACTGTCCGTAAAGAGGACATGGCCTTACCAGGCGAGGGGGCTGGCTACCCTGCCATCACGATCAGCATCAGAAGTACTGAAACTTTGGCTTCATTTCTCACCTATTCTCTGTCTATGCAGCCATCCTCTCTCCCATGTCTCATCCTAAACTGCACCTCATTCCACTCTACCCAAGAATTTCATCCCAGCTCCTACCTATATTCTTTGTTTTGTTTCTTTGGTCCTGGGGATCAAACCTGGGACCATACATTTCCCAGGCAGGGATATGCTACTGAGCTGTAGCCCTAGTTCCTTGGTATATTCTTACACATTTACATATACTGTGTTGTTCTGTTTTATTTGAGATAGAGTCTTGCCATATGGCTTAGGCTGCTGTCTTTTTTTTTTTTTTTTTTTTTCCCTTTTCAAAGTTTCATTGATAAACATATAGCAATGAGACAGTTTCAAATCAAATCGAAAGTACAGTTTCAACAAATAATACACTGCATATATTCTTCTTAGTGGTTAATTGCTGTACAAGATGCAGACTTGTGATCCTACTTACAAACACCATTAGAAAAAATCATTCTATTCAATAAGAGAATGCAACTATGTATCTATCCCAACCACTTTGAATACACAGATACAAAATGGACATTCATAGTTATACCCCAATTTTTTTTAAGTTCCGTTGTTGAATATTATAGGTGTGTAAACTCAGCAAAATATTCTAAAAGAGTACAGAAGCCCATAATAGCATTGGGTCTTCTGTTTAATTGGCAATGTCAGAAATTATTGACGTGAGTCCCCCACAGCTCAACATAACAACATGGCTTTACTTCCTATATTTCATCTTCATACTTTTCTACTGGATGGTTAAGACCAAGGTAAAGCAGAACCTATGCAACAAGAGTTGTAGCTTTTTGGTTTGATAGGCTGCTCTCATTATGTAGCCCAGGCTGGTTTTGAACTCTTGGTGATCTTCCTGGTTTAGCCTACTGAGTGCTGGGATTAGAGATGTGCACCACCATGCCAGGTGTCCTATTTCTTTCTTTCTTTTTGAGACAGGGTTTTACTATGCAGTTCAGGCCAGCCTTAAACCTACTTTGTAGCCCCAGAAGGTCTCTAACTCAGCAGTCCTCTTGCCTCAGCCTCACAGAGTGCTAGAATTGTAGGTATGTGCCACCATGCCCAGCCCCTGCCCGTATTCTCATAACAGCCCTTCTTTCTCTTCTCCTCCCATCTTCCCTCCATCCCAAAGAGCTTACTGCACTTACCAGTGCAGTGTAGATGGTGCAGACAATACCCAGGGTCAGCACTGAGAGCCACAGATCAAAGCCCGTCACTGTAAACAGACAGAAATCACACTATCTCTCAAAGAAGGCTTCCCAAAGGAGAAGCCAGAGAAGCCCTCATAGGGGCAATAATAGTAGGTCACAGAGATGAAACAAGTAGTCACTAAACATGTAACAAATCATTTATCATGATGTACGTGCGGGATGTTATACAGAGCTCTACCAACAGGTGTGAATTCACCAATTAATATGAAGCATGGTAATCTCTTACCAACTTCCAAATGAAACAAATCATGCCTGCTTCCACCTCTGGTAGAGACCAACACAAGGAGTTCAGCAGTGAATTAACTCCCTTCCCAGGGCCATGCTTTCTGACGCTCTGCCATTCCCACCGGTATCTTCCCAACCTGGAAGCCAGGCGCTGTGACGCCTCACCTGCATTGAGGGCCAATGATGGCGCATAGAGCACAACCCCCATGTAGATCACCTGTTGGATAAGGGAAAGGAGGTGAGAGCTACATCTCCAGTGCTTCCTTTCACCCAGGCTCACTTCCCTCTCCATCTCCTCCTGGTCTCTTCCCAATGTCTCCTTACTTCAGCCACTAAGTCTGTGGTAGCACTGGATGAACTGGATAGTGGTGTGCCAAAGAGACCTTCACTACTCACAGCTAACACTGACTCCTCCCAGGAATTTCAATCCTGCCAGAGCAAGAGCGTCCCTGAGCTCAACTCCCCCCTCATGCTCCTGGCTCAGCTTATACCTTCTTCTACTCACCATCTGAAAGATGAAGGTCACAGTTCCGCAAATCCGCACTGCTTTATTGAATCGGAGCTCCAGGTACTGGGTAGGAAAAAAGGGAAAAGGTACAGCCTTTCTCCTGACTCCATCACACTTGACAATGTCCACTGCTTGTCCACATGGCCCCCTCAACACAGCCCTCGCCCAACTCTACCCCACAACCTTGGTTCCACCCAGGAAGAAGTGAGAAACTTGGGGAGTTTTCTGCCATTCTCCTTAGGTGGAGGTGATATGGGTCCCAGTCCTCTCATATGTGCTCGGTCCCCTTTTTCCTTTCCTCCTTCCCACTCACCTCATAGGTGCTGGTGAGGTGCAGGCGGTAGAAGACAGGGATGAAGATATGAGCAGGGATCAGCAGCCCCAGAAAGTAGGAGCAGCCCAGGAACCAATACTGGGTCCCAAATCGGTAGATCTCAGATGGCACGCCCAAGATGGCCACAGCAGACTGGAATGTGGCCAGCAGGGACAGTGCCACAGGGAAGCAGCTCATTTTGCGGTCTGCCATCAGCAGCTGGCCAACAGTATGGTGGCCCCACCCACGACAAGCATGGTAGAGCCCAATAGCCAGGGAGAGCAGCAGCAGCAGGGCAAACACCAAATAGTCCACGACTGAGAAGACAGGGGTGGTGTGGGTTGTATCTGAGGTCGTGAGGAGCGGGGCCGAGGTGCTCACCCCTACACTCATCCTCACTGTGTTTGTGTTCTCCTGAGCCAGCCACTGCTTCTGCAACCTGGGCAGCTACTCAGGTGGGCAGGAGCAGGCAAGCAGCTACGAGTTGACTCTCAGCCACGGTCTCACAATCTTCCACTGCCCAGGGACATGGTCCAGGGAGAGCTGCAAAGAGCCAGTTATGACTATCTATCCTCAGGCCTGGAACATGCCAGGCCCACCAGATTTAGACCAGCCAGCATGGTGGTGACAGCCACAGAAGGCCTTCATGGGGTTTGGTGGGTGAGACAGAGGGAAGCAATAGCACAGTGAGACATCTAGGAGACAATAACTTGGCTAGGACGTCTGGGTGTACAGAACTATGAAATTCAAGAACATTCCTGGGCCTCTCCCCAAGAAGCAAAAGGAAAACCAACTCTATCCCAAGTTTCTCAGAACTCCCTGCCTCCACTTGCAGGCACAGACCCAGTCACTACAATGTATTAAGTCAGCAGACCCCAGCCTGGCGCCACAGCCCCATGGGGAAGAAGAAATAGAGACAACAGCAGAGACTCTCTTGTTCTCCCTGATCGCCCATGCTCCTCAGGGTCACTCTCCTAACCGCACCCCTCCTCAGCACTGGGTACCAGAGAGCTTCTTCCAACTCCATGCCAGGCAGCAACAGGCTGACTACTCTGGGAATTTTCCTTTTTTTTTTTTTAAACAGGGTCTTTCTATTTACACAGTACAGGCTGGCCTTGAACTTTTGATCTCTTGATCCTCCTGTTTTAGCCCCTAGAGTGCTGAGATTAAAGACACGGGCCCTTTCTTCTTAACAGTCTCCTAGCACCACTGGATGGGCCCTGGAACCTGCCTCACTACAGATCAGCCTGTAATCCCAGCACTTGGGGGGCTGAGGCAGGAGGATCACTGGGAGTTTGAAGCCAGCCTGGGCTACCTAGTTCAACACCAGCCTGAACTATACAGTGTGTCACTGTCTCAAAAAAACAAGAGTAGGAAGATTCAAAAGTGAGAGAGGGGGCTGGTGAGATGGCTCAGTGGTCTTAAGCACCTACTTAGAACAAGCTAAGCTAAGCAAAGCACAGGGACTGTGGTTCAATCCCCCAGCACCACATGCCAGCCAGCTCCGCCCCATGGTGGGCTGAGCTGGCCACACACACAATAAACAAACAAACAAACAAACAAACAAACAAAGTGAGAGAGGCAGATTCAAGAATTTAGCTCAATGGTGAGAGGACTACTCTGGAGAGAAGCCAGCCAGCCAGAGCAGTCCTGTCTCACAGGGTAGACACTTAACCTAAGAAGCAATCCCTGTTCTGAGGCAGAGCAGCCTGGAGCTAGGCAGAGGCTGAGGGTCTGGCTCTGTAAGTGGCTGAGAAAAGGGTTGGGAATTGGGGGCTGAGAAAGGCTCAGCAGCTGCTTGTTCTGACCCCTTCAGTAACCAATTGCTATGATCCAAATGGCCTTTTTACCCTGTAGCCAACACAGCCCTAGCAGCTGTAGTGAGGGAGGCAGGGAACTCACATTCAACAGCATTCCCAGATGGATTAGGCTTCTAGTTTAAATCACTCTTGGCACCTGTGTGCTGGAGAAAGCCGCAAGGAACTGAGAAGACCAAAAAGTTGCCTTTGTAATTCCTACACAAAAAGTAGTGATCCTCCAAGAATACACCACAATCCTCAAGAGGAACAAGTACAAGACTGCAGTTTCTCAAAACCTAAAGAGCGCTTAGCATATTGCTCTTACAGCCCCCTTCAGTTACACACAAGCACATGAAAGCCCAGATGGTTCACGCGACCTTCCCAAAGGTAGAGCCAGGATAGAATCCAGGTCTAGTAATTCCTCATCCATCCCACTCTCTGTGTATATCTTGTCTTCCCAAACATCCCCTTGGGCAGGATGGTATACCTGTGCCACAGTGAGCTATTTGTACACTGAATGCTCTAAAAGGTTCACCTAATTTCCCTATGAGTACTTACTGATATGGAGAAAAGGATACCAGAGAGATTTAAATACCATGTGTGCAGACAGCCTAACATGATGACAGCTGACATTTTCTGAACACCTGCTACGTAACCCAACAGTTTGCTAAGTGCTTTATAAATATTAGTTATACTGAACAATGAAGTAAAACCATTAACACGATTCACCAGTGGCCCTGTCCTCATTACTCTTAGGACCAGGAGAGAAATCAAGCGTTAACTGTAGTAAGTCATTCAAGGAACCCAGTTTAGACTTTAATCTAGAGACAGATTAATTCAAACTCAGTCTTCTGCCCTACCAACTACTCTAGTAGATCAGGCTATCTTCTGGCATAGTCTTCTTAGGCAGATGTTGCCTGGCTGGCAAATCTGGCTTCACACTGACTAAACCTGAACTCTGAACCTCCTGGAGCCAATGAAGGAAATCAGAACTGGCAACTTTTGATCACACATCCTCCAGTCACAGCAGCTAGTCCCTAGAACAAGGTTCCCATTAAGCCAAAGATGGCCTGGGCCTTTGCATATTGCAACACCTTGAGTTTTTCATTCCTCTTTGGCAACATTTTATTGTTATGATACAATAGACACGATCGGAACTATTGTAAGAATAAGAGAAATAACGTGCTGTATGCACATAAGAACATGCGGCCCTAAAAGATTAGTGGTATGGACAGACAAGTGGCTGGAGAAAGAAAGGTCTCAGGACAGAGTGAGACTGTCTACTACCGGAGGAGAACCAATCAATGGGGCTTCCAGATAAAGTTCTGTTTCCATAAAGTACTGAGAATCTCCTGGAAGACTGATGAGAACCAGGCAAGACCAGAAAAACCCAGCCCTGTAACAATGCTTTCATCTGGCAGGTTTCAATTCTAGGAACAAAAGAGCTTTCTAAAAATTCTACACTGACCCATCAGACTTGCCTCTCTTTGTACCAGCCAAAAGGAAGAGCTGAGTTGTTTCACTAAAATGGTAACACACAAGGCCACACATACTGGTGGTGAGGGTCTGTTTATTTCTTGAGACAAGGTCTTGCTTTGTTGTTTAGTTCAGGATGGCCTCTAACTTTCACTGATTCTCCTACCTAAGCCTCCTAAGTATACCTGGCTGGTGAGGGACCTTTTAAAAACACCTAACTTAGCAGGATGTGGTGGCACACACATGTAATCCCACCACTCAGGAGACTGAAGCAGGAGGATCCCCATGAGCTTGAGGGCAGCCTAAACTACATAGTGAGACCCTTTCTCAAAAAACCAAAACCAAACAAAGAAATTACTGCTAATAGGGCCAGGCGCGGTACCCATCTTTAATCCCTGCATTTGGGAGGCTGAGGCAGGATAATCACAATGAACTTGAGGCCTGCGTGGGATAGTGATTTTGAGGCCAGCCTGCACTGCATAGCAAGACCCTGTCTCACCACACAAAACGACCATGAACAAAAACCAAACAACATCCTGAATACCGCAAAAAATGAGTAAAAGGCAAGCTAGCAAATGTAAATTCACGAGAGCCCAGGAAGACACCTGAGAGACTGTGAAAGGGAAGCCTGGGCTGGTTGCTCAAAATGAACTCTGGGCCAGGCGTGGTGGCACACACCTATAATTCCAGTATTTGGGAGGCTGAGGCAGGTGGAACCTTGCGAATTCGAGATCTGCCTGGGCTACAAAGTGAGCTCAAGGCCAGCCTGAACTGCACAGCGAGATCCTGTCTCAAGAAGACGAGAAAAAAAAAAAAAAAAAAAAAGGAACACTGGTTCCAAGAACTATAGGGGGAACCCCAAAGCCCACACTTTGCCCCAGCGCCCTTCAGTCAGGTCCCGGGCACCTTCTGACCTACCATGCTACCTTGTCTTCTTACCTCCGTGGTTCAGCCAGGGCTACAAACACCTCTTTTTTCTTCCCCAGATCAGCATCGCTTCCTTTTCCTGGGAAGGAAAGGAAAGGAGTTGAAAGTGTCTGTCCTGCCCTACCTCTCCGCTAGGTTCCCGGGCGCTGTGCGGTCTCAGGTTGAGGTGAACCCGAATTAGCGCTGCGGGCGTTCCCAGCCTCGTGCCCTTCGCCGGGTTTGCCCTTCGCCCTGCGCTCTCAGCTCCTTCATCACCCTTACCCTATCTCTGCCGCGGCTTTCCTCTCGCCTCCGCACGTGCTGCATCCACCGCCTTGCCGCGAGCACTTTATACCTATCCCAACCCCGCGCGGGGGGCGTGGGAAGCTCCGCCCCTCCCACTCCCTCCCACCCTCGCTCGGCTCGGCTTGGCTTGGCAGCGTCTCTGTCCCCGCCCACAGCCGCCAGACCCACCTGCAGGTTTTCCACGCTCGGGTCTCCGGCACGCCACCGCGAGGCCCCGCCCCCCAGCCACTGCGCCGCCATGTTTACTGAGGGCGGATGAAGCGGTCCGAGTCGCAACCGTGGTGCGGCCTCGGCGACCCAATGTGCAGAACGCGGGGCTCGGGGGATCTGAGTGGCGAAGGAGGAGCTTCCATTAAAGGGGAAAATGGTGCGTCGCACGCCTGTAATCTCAGCGCACTTGGGAGGGGGAAGCAGGAGGTCTCAAGTATGAGGTTCGCCCTTGGCAATTTAGCGAGACCCTATCAGAAAACGAATGGGGATGTAGCTCAGTGCAAAGGCCCTAGGTTGAACCCCCGAGTATGACAAAAAGAGGACGGAGTCCAGAGAGCAATGTGCGTGTCCATTCCGAAAGCGGAGGAAGGCGCACGGAAAGAACCTCTGCTAGTTTGAGGTCCGGATTTGGGCGGATTAAACCAGGCTTTGAGGTCACAGCACGAGGCCCTTAGGCCACGCCCACGACGTGAGGCCTGACGCGTCGGGGGCGGGGCCGCGCGCTGCTCTCGCGAGCTGTCCAGGTCGAAAGGAGCGGAAAATGTCGTCGCGCGAGTCTGGCAAGCGTATCGACCTGCAGTGCTGGCCTATGGCCCTGCTCCTCGCTTTGGGCGTTGAAGGGGCTCTGGCGCTACCCGAGGTACCGGAACCAATTTGTTGTTGGGCTGAAGTAGGGTTGCTGGGCAGCCTTGTGTCGCTGTTGCCCGTAGTTATTTCTTTCCCCTCCCGGCCTCAAACTCAGATTTAATTCTTGAAGCCTGTAAACAGTGCCAGCCCACCCTGCTCTTGAGTACTCACATTGCCCAGGCATCCGGAGCTCTCTGCCCGCATTCAAAGACCTTTGAAATTTAAGTTCTGGCCTTAATCTTTGAGTAGCTTGAACTGTGCCTCTTGCATCGAGCCTTCCGGCCCTTCCGTGAGCTGAGGACGCGCGCCCGAATGCCGTACCTGGTCCTGCGGTAGAACTGTACTGTGCAATGCCTGGCGAGTTCTTTGTGTACCTGCAGCCTTTTACGCTGGCCAATCCACGGCTGTCAGACTGAAAAGTGTTTGGAGAAGGCACAGGAAATATGTTTGACTAATAACTCAGAGACGAAGACCTTCCTTAGGCGAGGACTGGTACTGAATGTGAGGTGCTGATTCAGTGTTTTGACTAGGGGAACAAATGGCATGCCCTACACTAGCTTAATACATGGCATGCAGACATCTCTGCGCTGTGTTAAGCAGAATTTTAGAGAGGTACTGTCAGTTCTTGATTTCTTTTTTTTTTTTTTTTTTTTTTTTTTTTTTTGGAGCCCCAGTAAGATTTCTGTGGCATGTCCTAGTCTAGCCTAATACGTGATGCGGCCATATCTCTGCTCTATGTTAGAGGAATTCTAGCGAGGTAGTATTAATTTTTGATTCCTATTTGTTGTTTCTTGATTTTTATTTTTGGAATCGTAATAAGATTTCTGTCTTCTGCAGGTATGCACCCAATGTCCCGGGAGTGTACAAAATTTGTCGCAAGTGGCCCGTTATTGTAAGAAATCATCGACCCTAATGGTGCAAGCCCGCTGCTGTACGAATCAGAAGGGCACCATCTTGGGGTGAGAGAAGAGAAGACATCCTGTGAAACAAGTTAATTCAGTACAAATAGAGCTCCTGGCTCGTGCTTTCCAGAAAATTGAAGAATGAAGTTGCAAAC